CCAAGAGAGCCTGTGCAGAGAATGAACCTCTACACCGTCAACCTATGAATCCGGCAGAACACAGAAGTTACCACGGAGCCCGGTGCCCCTGAGACGAGCACCTTCCCAGCCTCAGGTCTTCCGAAGGCTCAGAGGGGCTCAGGGTCGAGGGGAGGTTCAAACTGCGAGGTGGCGATTCGGTTCACCTGTCCGTCTCTTCGGGAAGTGTCCTTTTCAGAGGCAAGGGCTTCAGATGTACTTTCAGTAAACATTGTACAGCTTCAGGTTGAGCGCCCATGCTCGAGCACTAAGCTGGAAGCCCTCTGGATAAGAAACCAAGGTGCGGCGAATTGACCAAAGTCTGGGAGAGTTTTATGGCTTAAGGTGATGGTGGTACTGCAACACTCGAAGCCCAGGTCGCTAAAGCAGTTTCCAGGTTCAGGAGTGGCTTCGAGAGTTGAGTCATTGAGGGGTTCCCGGAGACTCCACACCAACAACAACCAGAGAAAGCCGCCTTTTCGGAGAAGCAGGGGGGCCGGCTGATGCAAGGGTTCCCCCTCTCCGACACGTCCTGCGCTTGGAGGGCGTTCGGGACTCCACTTGATGCTCGGGATCCCCTCAAGAACCTCCACAGAAAGTCTGCTCTTGAAGAAGAAAAAGAATCCACAGAACTTTTTGTCAAACAGGAGGTAGACTTTTCGGTCTGGCGCTACTCCACCTCTTCACCATTCAGCGTGTTAGCTGGGTTTTCTCCCTTTCCAATCAGTCTTTTGTAGAGACCTCCCTATGCTAGAAGAGCTCAATCTGATAAACACACATGACACGGTGGCCCTTTGACTCGCAGAAATTCATCCCATGAGAAACCCTTCGACCGGCTCTCGATTGCTTCGTCCCGGTGGTATCAGTGAGGTTTGGAAATTTGCGATTGTGGGGCCTCTTGTGCAAAATTTCTTGTACCGAAAGTGGGATGTGTTTGGTTCAGGTTGCCCTGTAGTCTACTTCAAACTCTGAATCTCACATGCCCAATGGGGCCGCAAGCCTGGCAGCCCTGATACTCCACACCGCGCCAGCCATAGCCTTCGAGGAATTCCGGAATCCAGCAGAGTGACTTGGGGGGATGGTGGGAAGCAGAACATGCAGAGACTCCCAGCTTCAAGCTGCCAGATCCTCAGATCTTTTGCACAGGTTCTTTCAGAATTTACAGCACCTAGCGAGTGCTGAGCTGTGACACCGGCCGGCACGAAGCCCGCAAGAGCGCGCAAACAATTCCAAAACTCGCACTGCACAAATCCTGATGGCGGCACATATTCCGACGTGAAGCCTGGTACGACAGCCCCAAAACCCGATACTTCAAACCACTATGATTGCATGCCTAAGCTCCTGGAATCTGCACATTCGGTCCATCCTCCCCTCGGGCGCCCGGCTCAGCTCGTCACAGGTTTGCGGGGTCGCCAAGGACCCGATCTGGAACCGGGCATTGACGTACTGCTCGGCCTCTTCTGGGATCTTTTTGTGTGGCGCTTGAGGGTCTCACAGGTTCAGGGTTTAGAGGGCTTTTTGGGTCGGGGGTCGCTTGTTCAAGCTAGTGGCTAGGTGGATTTGGTGCGTGTGGGGGGGAGTCATCGGGGAGGGCCAGGGCATAGGGTGTGGAACGACATGTAAACAACGCATAGACAAGAAGCTAGTGTGGACTAAGCCATTGGAGTCGCTATCCAAGCCGGAACCCCTCGCCTCCAGGAAGTCGTACAAAGGATGCCACCGGATCTTCTCCACTCGGGCATCGGTGTAGGGTCCAAAGTCCAGACCTGAGGAATTTAGGAATCGGCATTTAATTGTGGCAGTTCAGGATCTTTCGATGTTAGGGTTAGGGTTCAGGGAGCCCTTCAAGGTTCAGGGCGAGTGCTTGGACATGGAGACTCTACTCCCCTCCTTTGTGCTTGGCTCCGAGCCGACGTGGCAATTCGTTCCGGTGGTTCCTCAAATCGGCAATCAAGTGGAATTGGTGATGTTTGCCAAGCGCTTCAGCAATCGAATGCTGTTGATGACTTGCGACGCCTTGCCTCAGCGTTTATAAACCATTATAAACCCTTAGTTGCTAGCCTTAGTTCTTGAGGCTTGATGCGATAGAATGGCAAGATGTGGGGTGCATGCCAATGCATCAATGTGATTCTCCGGGTCGGATACTGAAAGCGCATCGCTATCGCAAATAAGACTCTTCAGATCAGGCCCTGGACACCTAGCTGCTCGTACTGCAAAGAACAAGCAGAGCACAACAATCTCTCTTCTACCAACGCCAGTTTCCCCTCGACGCCCCCTTCCGACATCCCACATCGTCCTGCGACCACCTCTGGGTCGTCATCGAAGACCGCAGCACAGGTGCTGTGCCCGACCTATCGATCGAAAACAGGCTGAGTTGGACTCTTGGCGTGTGGACTTCGGGTCAAGATGTTGATGGGGGGTGCCCTCCCGAACCTGACCGGGATTGCAACAAGAAGACTACCTCGATGCCGGGTTCTGGGAGGTGAGGATTGGGGAATTTGAAAGCCCGGAGGCCCCGAGGCTTCGGGTACAGGAAACTCTCGTTGGGAGACAAGGCTTGCCAAGAGAAGCCGACGTGAATTTTGCAAGAGGGGGGTTCAAATTTTGGGTCCAGGCTCTTTGCCCCTGAGGGCCTGTGGTCTCAAAAGCTTCCTTCTAAAACCCTCTGGATCCTGAGCATCATCATTCCCTACCGAATCGATCACTAAAGGAAGCAGAGGACCAAACTTTGTCCCTGCATGGGACCCGGACCTCCTCCACCCTGACCCACACACGTGGCACACCCCAGGATCTGAGCCGGAAACCCTTTGAAACCCGAAACTGAAAGGAACCAATGGAGGAGAGCTGGCTCTGACCTCGAAGTGGTTGTCGCCCACGCCGTGGAAGCAGGCCTTGCGGGGTGTCAATTTGGGTCATAGCTATATGGGGTTCTCGGCTTTAGTGCAGCGTAGGGGTTTGGGCGGGCTTTTGGGGTAGCCTCGACAGGCGACGGCCGTGGCTCCGTGGCTCTGCTTTCGGGATGGCATGACTAAGCTTGGCGGCAAACACTTAAAACACAAGCGGTCGAACTGCCGAGTCCTCTAACACGACCAGACTGATCCTCGACACTGAGGCCTGGAACTCTCGTGTCCTAGCCTGCCAAGCCTCAACTCTGACTCTGTTGCCAGATTTCCAGCTTCAACGCAACCCTAACTTCAAAATGTAGCCCCCAAAGCAAGTTCCGGACAATGGAAAGCCTCGTAGCGTCGCAGCAGCATGAACACAACAAGCACCCGAAATTGGGCTTGAAGACTGCCTTGGGGGTTTGAAGCTTAGCGCCTCCGATGCCGGAAACTATGTCGGGGATTAGGGTTCAGGGACTTGGGGTTGAAGCCCCTTCAGACACCAAACCCTGAATCAGGAAACCCCCTTCTGGGGGTGGCCGGGCGGGAGCGTTGCCCAACATCTTCCCCGCGTCCCGGGAGAGGATGCGCGACTTGGGAAGCACCTCATTGGCGGGCTCAAGGGCCTAGGATTCAGGGGATTATTCTAAGGACATTTAGCTTGTCTGCGTATCATCTGTAACCCATGTAGACCTGCCCATGGCCCTCTGGACCGGCTTCCAGTCCGACCCAATCCGACAGTTTGGGGATCGAGGCCCAAGGTCAAGAGCCAAGGTGCACGCTGGGAGGAGGCTTTGGGGTTACTTTGCCGATAAGGTGGTGTGCTCAAAAGAAGCTGCGGCACCGCTGGTTTGAAGACGAACTGCGTTGTAAAAGGATTCCTGTACATGGACGGACTGCAGTTTTTCAAGGACCTACAAACCTAAAGCTTGAAACAGCTTGGAACTTTAGCTGTTAGCTTCAACATGTTTTAACCCTGGCGGCCGACGACCCTGAGGCCACTGCAAACCCCAAGGCTGGAGCTGAACCCTCCTACTCTTGGAAGTGAGCCATTTTCCTCAAGCGATCGCCTCCCATGGTAGTCAGAAAGAATGCATCTTGAGCATAAACAGTGGGATCTGGATCTTACGTTTTTTCTGCTGACGACCAATACTCGCGAAACTTACGAATGCCTGGAAAATCTTGCATTCGGCGTCCGACCTTACATTCACCTCAGTCCTTTCTGCATACCATGGGATTCTCTTGATGCTCCGTCGGCGAACCGAACGAGCAGTACCAGCGAAGCTCTGCGGCTCCAGACAGAGCATTGTGGGTGTAGCTGGAGCTTTCTGTGCACACTACCCTCAGCCATTCTTGAGAAGGAGGTGTCGTGAAAAGCACGAGCTCAAAGTCGCACAGAGGCGCAGAGCCGCGGTTTCACTGTTCAGGGGCGACGTGTAGGTATGCAGAGTGAAGCATTGTAGAGGTCGGCTCTGGGGTTGAGGGTGCTTGGCTGACTCAGCTGGACACCGGCTTGCCAGCGCCTGACGGATGTCGAACCGACGAATGCTTTGTCTCTGCTTTGGGCGGGGAGCGGGGTTCTTTTCGAAGCTCTTTCGGGCACATGCCGATTTAGGGACTCGAGCTGTGGGTTCAGGTTGGCGAGCTGAAAGTCAAGGGGCCCAGAGGCAAAACAGTGCGCCTGAATCCTCCCTCTTGTGAGCCTTCAGAGTGGGCCTTCTTGGAGGCTGGGAGAACAGTCTGCTCAACCGTCAACTCACGTGAGATACCCAAAAATCTGAGATGCAGAACTCCTCCAACCCCGTGATATAAACCTTACGCAACAATTCCGTAACGTATGACATGTGACATGTTGATCTTGGCTAGGGCTGTGCACTCCAAAGCTTTCTTGGAAGGAACTCTGAAGGCAAACCCCTCTCAGCTTTCGCCGCGGCGCTGTAGAGCCAAGCCCCAGCTCCCCAAACCAAAAGTGGCACTCAGCTTCCTTCTCAAATGAATCATCACACCCCCCAAGCCCTGACTCAACCCTGAACCCTGTACTTCACCAAACTCATCCCATGACATCTCTGCAAGAAACCCTCTCGGAGCCTTCTGGGGCGGCTAGTCCGTCTTGCCTTTCCGGCAGCTCTGCACCAGGAGTCCAAACAGCAGAAACCAGTGGGTTGCCTGCATCTTGGGGCGGTTCCAGCGTTCAAGTCGAGGTCGGGGGGTCAGTTCGACAGCATCGATGATAGCAATAGCACGTCTGCTGCCGCTTTAACACAAAATGGTCGAATGTCCAATGTGCACAGCGCACTCGACAATGGCATGGATGTTGCTAGTCACGGCCATCCCGGGTGCCATCAAGACTCAAGTTTCTGAACCGATGCAGTCGGACGGAGCGGTCTACATTCCTGCCTGAAGAAGTATGCTTCCCAGGCTGGTTGGCAAACCTTGCACCAAACCCGTCACATCCCCGTGGGGTGCGCATTCGGGGTGAGCGAGTGACGCATGTGAGTGATGAGACTAGCCCACCTTACCGTATGTACCAGTGCCCCCAGGCCGCCAAGAAACCCTTGTTGGCCCGTTCCCGTTGAACATGCTACGCAACTGACTCAAGCGGTGCGATTCTCTCAACGTCTGCCAAGGTCACGTTGGGGCAATTCCAAACCCTGATGCAGCACAAAGCCAGGGAAGCACACACGGTGAATTGCTTGCTCGTGGAATGTCTCACGAAATGGGGGTCCCCAGGTGTAGATCAGTTCGTAGTTACAGGTGGTCAGGGGTCCTGCCAGCCGGACAGGACCTCGCTGGCTCGCAGTACAAAGAAGAACGACTAAACTAGCATTTCTGAATTGATTGCCTTCCTACATGCCTGTACAGCTCTCGAGCCCGTATTCTCGAAAGCCCACAACAAGCCGCGAGCGGAATCCCGAAAAGGAAAATCTGGAGACTTAAGTCCATCAGGTCGAGTGGCCGGGAGAGGTCCAACGACGTCCATCCGGACCGCGCACCTTTCGGGTGGTTTTAAGAGGCCTTTTTAGAGATTAGGGCTTTGGCTCTTGAACAACTCTGACGGGCTTCGCTCACTCACGGCAATCGAATGCTCCTAGCCAGAGCGGAATGTTGCAAAAAAACGGGCTGGTCACAGATCAGAGCACAATGTCGGTAGAATCAGAAGCGGATCAGAAAGGCGGGACTCGGCCTCAAAAAGGCTTTTCAGGGATGTTGTACGTGCGGGATATCGGGATATCTAGCTAGCCGCGCGGTGCGAAACTGGGCCTTGTCCTACCACAACGTCCAACCGGCGCCACTCTGGACCACCACGCCCCATTAAACCAAAGCGAAGTTCAAAACAAACTTAAGCGGTAAACGTTGCAAAAAGCTGAATGGCCATCCATACACTGTGCTCTGTGGCCTTTGCGAAAGTGCAGCAGACTGTCAGCAGAGGTAAGCCCCGACTTCGGCGGCAGAGCGTGACACAGGACGATGCTCACTCTATCGTCCAAGTAGAAGGCAGCCAGGCCCAAAAGCCCAGTCACGGCCCAAGCTGTGTATGGCACATGCAAAGTCTCGCCAGCTAGGCACGGTGCCACAGGAACCTTCATGCCCGAATGACTGAAGCCCCAGCCACATGCCACGTCTTCGCTTTCACTTCAGGGCTCTAGTCGCCGATTGTAGTCTTCAAATCAGAACGTTCAATGAACACGTGCTGCTTCCCAGCTGGGAAATTGTCGCGGCGAACCTGCTACCAAACACCTAAAGGTTAAAGCGCGGAACTAAACGGATAATCGTAGACACAACGTGTAAAAGCCCTTCTCGGCCCTAAGAAGATCGCTACAGCGCACCTCTCCGTGGGTCGTCACGATAAAGGGCACTTCTACCTCACGAGAACTTCTGGGTCCATTTAACTTCTCAGGCTCCACACACTTCCTACTCCACAAGCGCTCTCTAAATAAGGCATTTAGGAGTGGTTGGCAAGCAGGTAGCATACGGTAGCATAGGAGCCTGCTGTTCAATCTTCAGGTTCAGGCACGTTTTACTTGTGCGGTGCGTGTACATGTTCTTTTCATGCAGTCGTTCTGCAAACCGGAACAGTCTGGCACGCAAGACACCAATGCAACAAGGCTTTGGGGTGGAGCGTCTCTGAAAACGTGAACGACACCGCGTTCGGAAGGAAAAGCGTGACTCCATGCTGCCCCAGGGCCAGCAGCGTGATGATCGCTGTAGCTGCAGCATGGTGCAGCCGGCCGCTGCCGAAACAACAGTAGGCCAGGTAGGGGATGGTATGGAAGTACCTCAATGGCGCGCTCAACAAAAAAGAGGTCATCTTGGGGTGTGTCGGGTAGTGCTTATAGATGCTTATAGGATCTTATAGGGATGTCCATGCATGGCCAGCCCAAAACACCGAGTCCTTGGACCCTGGCTTCGGGCTTGCTATTGACATGGCTACCCGGTACATGTTGCCGACCAGCTGAACGGGATCAGAAGCCGCCATCAAGCCTCCACCCTGACCCGTGTCTTGTGTGACTCCCGGAGGCCCTTGTCTGTGAGGGCTGGCGATTCTATTCTGAAGACACCCTTAGAGTTTACGGGATTTAGGGACTTTGGCATGTTGCATTACAAGGTTCGGGGTTTTTGGTTGTGGGTTCTTGCCTTTTACAATGATTTCGAGAAAAAAGTCCGAAGGCGCTTCGTGGACAAACAAAGGCTCAAAGTACATCACTTCCAAGGGGCCAAACCAGGTACTGGAAATGCATCGTGCGCAGGCAGGCAATGCCAATGAAGTTGCCTCTGCAGCCCTAGATGTCTAAAGCAGCTGGGCTCTAAGGTCGCTAACAAGACTAGCGAATTGTGACTGCGGGGTAACTCTTCGGTGCATTTGGCGAAGAGCCGTTAGCAACCAAAATTCAACCAAATTGGGTTAGAGAACCAATCATGCGACTCAGCAATCTGGGTTTTGCCTATGTTGGTAGCTCCTAATTACACCGGACAACAAGCAAAGAGATCCCTGCAGTCGCGGGATGGCACACAAAACATGGTCGATGTCCGAGCAGAAGGTCAGGGTAGGGGGGGGGGGGGTTGAGGCACATGGGGTTGGTTGTTAGGAGGGAGTGCGGGCGTCGTGCCCATGCTCGGCACTTGTGCTACTTGAGAAGCGAAGCTTACATGTTCTATGTGCAATAGGCATTCAATCTGAGCTAAACATCCGGCTGCGGCCAGGGAACAGGTGAACCACATGGCCACGACACTTTGGTCGCTGAGACACGCCGAGCAGCGCCACTTTCGGATGGTCCTACAAAGAAACTGAAAGCTGAAGCTTCAGTGTACCAATTTTCAAACAGTAGAGAGTACGCGTGGTCATAAGAAGCACCCTGTCACGCCTTTGTTCTTCAATGCCCTAGTGAGATCGTCCGGTTCTGGGCTCTAAACTGTGAACTCAGAGAACTACAAAATTCGGCACTCGTGGGGTTTACTAAATGGTGATTAAGTGGTACACCCGCCCTGAGGCCCTAACGTAACCTATGCCCCGTACAAGCCCGAGCCCTGAAGGGCAAACTGCTACTGGTAGCTCTTAAGACTTGCGTCGGGTCCCACGTCCTGCTCAAGAATCCACCATCTATCCAGCGAACCTTCCGCAGAAGAGGCTTTCACGTGGTCTATACAGTGACTTGGGCGTTCCTGGTCACGCATTCACTACAACAATTCTACATGCTGTTCCGCTGTTCTTTCTCCAACCACTTCTCATGCTTCGGCTTTGTATCGTTCTGTATCGGTGACTGCTCCTGCTCTTGGTAGCGACTGCTAGCATCGCAAAACTCAATGCGGCATCCGGGCAGGCCAAGCTGCCACTCACTACGTGCCCAGTCATGTCCCGCATGATATGCACATGCATGCATAGATGCTGAGATGGACTTAGACTGAGTTGAGGTCTCGGTGCTCCGTAGCATGGACTTCTTGGATCCACCAGTTTGACAAGCGCGTGAAGCTCCGAAGTTATGCTAAACCCTACAAGGATGGAATGGGCTTTTCTCGTCCAAACCGCCACAGAAAACACGAGATGATGTGGAGGTGCAGCGAAGGAATACTGGCTAAAACACCCGAGCATTGTTCGACCATGACCACACAGAAAGGCAGGCCTGTGCAAACCAAAGCAGAAGGAGGACATGCACCTTAGCTAGTTGCGGGCTCGCACAACTAGGCCCTATAAGTGGCTTGTACCAGAAACGTTGGTCCCAATGAATCTGAAGCACTACACCCCCTCTAGGATTAGGTTCAGGGACCTGCCTAAGCCCCCACACACCCTTCAACCCCACTATAGCAGCTGGATTGTCTTAGACCAGCGAGAACTTGTGCAAAGCACCGGAGGTTACTTGTTGGTCTTTGTGCCGGATGATTACGATCTTCAGGCTTGTGGGTGGTATTGGGAACTCAGGTTGAGCATGTTGAGCATTAGGGTTTTTGGTTCATGCTCTTCGACTCTCCTAGGCTGAGGGTGTAGGACGTGAGATGGCACTCAAGTCAAGGCTCAGAAAAGCAAGGCTCAAGCACTACCTTCATGCTTTATTTAGTTCCAGGTGTCATGAACTCTCTGTGAAAAATGCCTACACTGCCTTACACCAGCATGCAGCTGACAGCATCTTTTCGGGTTGGAGGCAGACTCTGAGGCTATGGCCAGGAGCAGCAGGATCGAGAGCTCCTTCCTCGAGAAGAGCGCCTGCAAACCCAAACGAACACCCATGAAGACAAGCCGCCTTGAGAATCTTGTGGACGCAACGCCCCCCAAACCAAAGTCATAGCATTTGATCGGAGTAGCGGATGTAATCTTACGAGATTTAGGTCTACAGAACTTCGAATAGCCCCCTCCGAAGTAATTGCCTGTGTTCTTGGAAAAGGCCTCCGGGAGGAAGCGCCAATTGACCGACCAGGCAGGCCTGGGCACATCCAGCGCTTCGAGAAGCCAGGGCTCCAGGGGCTGAGGTTCACCTTCCCTTTTTTCGGATGTTTGACAAAGCAACATGCCCCAATCCGATGCCCAGACTCCGTGCATCTTCAAGCTCCGAGCTTCTATACCACGCACCATATTCTGTCTGCTGCCAGAGCGGCTGCAGATCTCCAGGCCCTGTCAGCTTGCTTCCCCGTATGGTGCCGGGAAGGGAGCTTGGTGGGATTTCCGCGGTCGTTTAAACGGTTTTTGTCTGTCATACTGGCTTCCAAACGGCTTGGTGGGCTTCTGTGGTGGGGTCTGAGTCTGAGAGCCTTCCAATCAGACTTGGTGGCATCCCCAGAAGCGCACTGGTAGGACGCTGGCCTCCAAACGCGCGGCCAAGGTACGCCGGCGCGTTGGCCTCGTCGCTCCGGAGTCCGGCGGCGGCTTTGCAGGGGGGGTTCGAAGACAATACTGGCGCAAACATGCCCTGAAGGTCGAGGAATGTTTCCCCCCCCCCACCCGCCCCCTGCGAACTTCGGGCAAGTCTGGCGGTGGTGCGAAAAACCCTGTTTGTGAAATGTGAAACTGTGAAACCCATAAGCCCCAGTTCCTTTTGCCATCTCTCTTAAGCCTTTGACACCCTCAGGCCTAAGCTCACAGAGCCCGTCAAGAAGTAGTCCAGGGAGCATGGAGGAAGGGCACTGCCAAAACCAGCTGAAGAGCGAGCATGCAGGCGATGCCTAAGGCTTTGATTAGTTGCAGTGGTCTGTGGCGTCGGAAATTTCAGGGTTTCTCGAACTTTCCTGGAGTGGAAGCCATGTGCCGCCGAAAACCTAACCGCAGCAACAAAACCGAAGCAACAAATGACGAGCGACTCCGAAGAGATCTGCAGGCCCTTATGGAATGCTACAATCTGCATTGCGAACCCCTGAACTTCCATCTCCACTGGCACCCCAAAAGCCGCAAACACTCAGCTTGCAAATCCCAAGCCTTTAACAATCTCAGGTAGAGCCAGTTCGGGGGATTAGGCCTCAACCAGGAAATACAGCTGAGCCACACAGCAAAGCATGAGACCATCCGCCACTGGCCACCAAGCACAGGCCCACCTGTGCTACAGTCTTAACTTGCCCTAGTGCTCGGAACTTGCATCTGGGTGGTAGGAAGAGGTAAGTACAGGGTTTAGGGTTTAGGGTTTAGGGTTTAGGGTTTAGGGTTTAGGGTTTAGGGTTTAGGGTTTAGGGTTTAGGGTTTAGGGTTTAGGGTTTAGGGTTTAGGGTTTAGGGTTCACAACTGCTTAGCACCTTACTTGGGGCTCTTGTTATAGTTTAAGCTACTATATTCTTTGATGAAGAGGTATAACTGGGTGCACTGGGTTGCTCAAAGTTGGGTTCTCCTACAAGAGTTGGCCATTAGCCTGTTCCAAGACCCTTAAACAAATCTGTGGTCATTTCCGAAGGCCTGCAAAAGTGCCAGACTTGACTGTTGCTGTGCTGGCAAAACATCAGCGGTAGGATCTTGTGGCTAATGTGCAAAGCAGCAAGCCCGGCCCTCGCACACCAGCCCCTGCCCAACAAGGACCATCTGAATCCCATTACCACTGTAAGGCTCAGAACCTCTATCCGACCCATGGACATTAGCAGCCCAGAATCCACTGGGCAGATTAGCAACGGCTGCATCTTGATGCTGACCTCGCTCCACACCAAACCCCAACGGGACTCTCCCGGGACTCTCTTACATGTAGTAGAAATAAGAAACGCTGGAAGGCAAAAACCTTGGCCCCTGCCCAGTCAACTTTCAGAATTTGCCTTCTGATTGGGGAGTTGGAAACAGAAGCGACCCAGGTGCTGTATAGCAGTTCAAGGAAGGTCCTGATCAACGTGCTCAAAAGATTCGAAGGAGGTGAGGGGCCCAACGTTGCTAATCTCAGCATCTGTGCCTCTGCCGAGGGGCTGCCAGCGAGTAGCTCAGTGAGCACATCAGGTGCCTTCCTTGAAAGGGAGCCCCCCCCCCCCGATGCAGCCCATGCAGCCCATGCAGCCCATGCATCCCTCTGTGATTGAGCCCTGGTAGGTTCCAGATGCGCTTTGGGGGGTCTTAGGACCTATCGAGTAGGAGCTGTGGTGCTCTAGAACCCGTAACCCAAACCTTGGCAACACGTGAGGCGCGCATCCAACGAGGCCAGCGACGCCCAACACTACAACAGTTTGCAGGGCTCAGGGTCTAGAAGTCTGCAGGGCTTTGGTGCGTCGCTTTTCAGTCTGAAAATTCACAGAAGGCCCAGAGCTGTGTACTGCCATACACCAGACTTGCCATTGAGGCTAGCCCAGATCTCCAAGCGACTTCAAAGATCTACCAAGGAATCCAAGGAACTTTGGAGGAAGAGGAGCAGCGCGGCATAGCAGAAGAACTGGGCCACCGCGTCGTTGAAGAGCCGCAGCACGAAAACCTTGAAGCGATGTACGGGTTGAGGGCCTCAAAGCCCTACTGTATGGAATGCAAAAATGTTCAAGATTTCTGGCAACACTTGGGATTCAAGGTCGGGTTGTTGCTTTCTAGGCTGGAGATTCAAGAGTGGGCTTTGTGGGATGAGGGTCCAGGGCCTTGGGAGGTGTAGCCATGACAGAGGCAGCCCTGTAGATGTGTGCTAACTCAGCGATGGCGCGGAATGAACTCGCTTGCTCAAGACGCAAAGCGCAAAGACCCACAGCGGCGCGCCCGCGTGGTGATAAATCCTTGAAGCCAGGAGGGGCTCAAGCGTTTAGCAAGACCCCCAATCCGAACCCAGGTTTGTGCCTTCTTGTTTCTTGATGTATGTGGATGCTGGCATCGGGGCTTTCAAGGAACATTCCGACACGAAGAGCCTAAGCGGTTGGGGAGCATAGAGCTTTTGGGCACAACCCAAGAGCTTTCCTGCTGTAGGCGTGGGGCTCGAGAACGGCCTGCCTGTCCTGGTTATTCATGACCAACAGACCGCAGGGCTCGAGAGATTTCAATCGCTTTCACGAGTGTGAGGTACCAGAATAGTTGACCCCAAACCACATTGAAGAACATCCTTGCGTTCGTGTTGAGCCCTCTGTTGATGAAGCCGCGACTCTGGTGAAGCACTACCATCATGCCGAGATAAATCACGGCAAAGAGTGCCTGGCAAGCTGTTGTCAATCTAGGCTGATCACATGTCGCGTGGGGCTTTAGTGTTGTGCAGTTGCCATCGGATCGCAGAAGCCGTCGGGCTCTTGGCACTCCCTCGGTATAGCAGCGAAAGCAGAAGATCGGTCTGTGAAGTTCAAATGCTGGAAGAAGGGATTCTCTTGGGTGGTGCACTCCAGGGATACTCACATTCCCAGGGCCCACTTACATGTTTTGTTGTGCCCAAAACTTGTGCTGAATTTGTGATCGAAGAAGACTCCAATGCTTAGCTTCCATTTCTCGCGGACTCGCCCCAACTAAGCCAAGTGCTAGACTGCTAGACAACAACTCCCGGAGACTCAATAGAAAAAACGAGAGAAGGATGTGACCGCGAGCTCCAGTTGAGGGTTATCCTCCAAGGCGCACTACACTGCAATAAACACAAAGGCTTTGGAAGAAGCCAAAGTAAGCAACCAAAAGCCTACACATGTCCACCAACACACACAAAACACAAGACCAAACAGCAGCAAACCATCTGCGCCTGCACTTGGCGAACCTCCAGGCGAGCCCACCGGAGCGCCCCGTAGAACCTCATGGGTGGGCAAAGATTGGAAGCACTCGGATTCGGTGTCTCTGGCGCCTGGTTCCCTGTACCGAAATGCTTCGCCTTCGTCATTTACGCCTGAGGGCTGAGCCGCTCATGACGTTCATACCGTCTTTCATATAGACTATCACTCATGTCACGAGCAGTCACTAGCACTACCACACTTCAAGGCGGCCAAAGCTCCAGACAAAGCCCGCAGGATAGGCGATGGGCCCATTGGGGCTCGTGATTTCCTGATAGTCATACCTTGGCAGGTGGAAGGCATCAAGGCTTTAAGCTATGGCTTAAATGAACTTGGGGGCCGACATGACAGGTTCTCACATGGTTCTGGTATGTTCTGGTGCCTTTGGGTCGTGTTGGAAGGTTCACATGGTGTGGTCGGGTTTGGTATTGGATCAATGGTAAACGCAATTCCCCAGCAATCACCCGCCTCCCCTCCCCCCCAAACAAAAGGGACGCCCCAGCTTCAGTGGGTTGCAATCAATCGGAGGCAGACAAGGGCACCGTGCAGGCAGACAATATGCGCCCAGGTGAGAATCAGGGAGAACAATTCAGCTGGTCCGAGCTCTCCGCAAGCGGGCAACAGTCGGGAACCCTTACTCCTGGAAAGCGCTGAAAAGCGCACTGCGAACCTAAGACGTCTATGAACCCGGGCAGCCTTCAACCATCCCTCCAACCCTCTTATGCAGCTTGACAACCCCTAAGCTTACACTCAAAGCCCCAAGCCTAAACCCTACGCTGATCAGCTGATCGTCTTACCAAGAACTGTCCGATTTGGAAAACGAGATTGCAAAACACAGGATGCTCCATCCTTACGAAGACCATGCCTGAAATTACACACTTGGGAATCCCATGAAGACCCAGGTCGGCAGTCTTGAGGGAGACTCCTTTAGAGTTCCACAGCCGAAGTTCTGCGAACTCCAAAGTTTGGCGACCTTGAATTCTGATCAACTCGTTAGGTTGGGTCTGTAGGACGGAGAATTGTTCAGGCAACTGCAGGTTACGGACCCTTTGTGGCCGAGATTCTGCCCTGCCAGCACAAAGTCCACCTTCCCCAGAACGGGTGCGTGAATGGACAGATGCGCGGGGTCAGTTGGGTTGGAAGATAAGGGCCTCACCGTGCAGACTCATTTTGGGCGTTAAAGGATTAAGACGTGGGGTCCGGCGGGTCGCACTGCAAAAGACATCTCGGCCCTTAAGAGCCGATGTCGAAAACATTCCGCAACTCTCAACCCCTCGTCGCCTCGGCCATGTATGACTCCCAGTCAATGTCTGTGAACGGCACCTTCGCGACGACAGCGGCCGTGAGAACCTTCTTGACAGCAAAGGTGGGCTAACTTAAGTGTCACTACTAAGCGCTACTAAGTATCCCTATGACTACTGCCCACAGCTTCCACCTCAAGCGTGTAACGCACATGACATGGAGACTGCATGGGATCAAGGCTGGGACATTGCAAAAGGGGGTCGGGCATCGCTCGCACAGCACGCAGAGAGATTCGCTGGCATTTTCTAGCTATACTCTTCTCAGCAACCCCAAAAGCCCCACATCCCAAAAAACTCTCAAGCCCTCAGATACAAGCCATATTTAGCGCAAGCAACCTTCAACCCTAGCCTAAATCCTGAAAGAAGACAGCGGACGACAATCAGGCATAGTTTTCTGAGTTTCTGCCACGAGGGAATGGTTTTCGGGATGCAAGACCCTTTAATCCAAAGAAACACGTGTTGCAAATTAAATTGCCCAATCACGCAATTCTCTTTCCCCTGACACTAAAAGGGCTTTACGACGGCGTTACGATCTTGAAACATGCAACAGTTGCTCTCGCTTCAGAGAGCCGTTAATCGCCGCAAAAGGATGAAAGTTTGACCAGAAGAAGACTCTGTTCGCAATAGAAATGGCAAGTACTTCGTATAAGAGGAAATAAGAAAGTCTGCCTCTTCTGGGAAAGAGGTTCCGCTGGTTCTCAATACGCGATGAGGTATATAATCTTAATGCGACATTCGAAACGGACTGTTAAGCATGCATGATCAGAATATATCAGAATGAAGACACCCCTTGTTTCGTCTTCCATTTTCTTAGCAAAGGAGAGCGCCCCTTCTGCTCTTCATAAGAGATGAGGGAGGGGGCCAGCTACCAGAAATGAGCCATCAGCAACAAGAAACTCCATAAGTTCGTCTTGACAATACTGACCTTTCCTTAGGAGTGACAACAAGACTTGCGTTGGTTTGGCGAACGCTTTGCATTTGTCCATCGACTTCTCATCTGAATCCCAGAAGCACATGGACATGTTGCAACAAGTTAGTCGGGCCAACTTTTCCATGACAAGGAGGCAGCGAAGAAGTAGGTCAATGGAGGGGATGACCAATATACATGTGAACAAGACAAGACATGCGCGTATCATGTTGTAGGTACATATACCTCCATACCCATGCGCATACGTTGCTATAAGCCCAAGAGCCCCAGAAGGCCCCCAGGCGCAAGGCGTGGTTTGGCCAAGGCTCGGCATCGGCCAGCAGTACCAGCAGGGCCCACTTGGAGGCACAGGGAATGGAGAACAGCCTTGGCGGTGAAACCCGTAGTAATGGCATGACTCAACCCAAAGGCATGCTACTGGGATGGGCTCCACAACGCCCTGGGTGGTTTGAACATGTCGACCTGGGTGGGAGGGGGGGGGGGGGAGAGGGGCCTGCCAAGCCTTTCTCACTCAATGAGCCCTGCAGCCGGCCCCCAACACCACAACTGTTTTGGTGTTTTGGCGTGGTCGCAAGTGCAATGTCTCCAAGTGCGATGTCTCCAAGCAGCCACCGCTCGAACTTCCTGGCCGCCCTGTCAGAAATTAACCAGTTTATTATGTTGAGTTCAGGGGTACAGTATAGGGTTGACAAAGGGATGGCTTCGGGCCACAACAGGACATTTGCGAATCACTCAACCAAGCCTTTAAATCTCACACATCTTTGTAGCCGGACACATGCTGCTCATTCTCTAGAGCACAAGACACAGAGCCTTAGAGGTCCTAAGCTGCGCGAGCACCAGCTCACGAATGCGATGATCGGCGCCTCTGGATGCTCTCCAGGGACGACGCCATGGGTTCGCATTCATAAAGGGAGAAGCCTCATATTTAAAGGCACTTGGTTTCCAGAGCCGCTGTTATCCCGTGCTTGCTGTTTCTGCGCTTCTGTGCGCAATGGACTAATCTCAAGGGCTCAAAGCGGGCTTCTTGCGGAGGCAGCTCTCGGGCCAACTTTCTGCTTACTGTCGCTACTCTAACCTTCTGGCTGTTGCTCGCAGCTCGCAGTGTGTCTGTTATCGAATTGATATGTAATAATTTAGTGTGAAGAGCCGTCCGGTTTGGCGCATTGCCGGGCATGAGCTCCTCAGCGTTTGGGACTTGAGCCTTGAGCTCCAAGCAGTCGAGTGGGAAAGGCTTGCTTTGTCATGCACCCTGACCGAAACCGACTAATTCGACAGTCCAGGGCTCGAACGGTGTGAGAGGCTTGCAGGGGTTAAGGGGGTTTATGGGTTCGTCGGTTTGTGCGGTTTGGGGTTAAAGGGTCGCGAGTCACGAACTCTCAACCCGGAAAAAATAGAATAAGCCCATGAGCTGGTCCTAAGAGTGGATCTTGGCCGCGAGCGACAGCTTCCGAGGACCCCTCCAGAACTTCCGGCGTGGTCACCTCGGGTCGACGGGCTCAGGCTTAGGGCTCTTGGGGCTCTGTGTGTGTGTGTGCGTGTGGACTGCTAAGATCCTGACTACAGATGCGAAATCTACATCATAAACATAAAAATATAATAAATATGAAAACTTAACACGAAGCCCTTAGCACAAACCACAAACACTTTAACACGAGACCCTAAACATTTAAGCACTAAACCCTAAACACTTAAACGCTACACCCTAAAACTAGACCCTAAACATTACACACTAAACCATACACACTAAACCCTGAACACTAAACCCTAAACCCTAATCAGAAGGTTTTTTAAGTTGACAATGGTCTGGGGAAGCCCCGGTGCCTTCCCCAGATCATGTAAATTTGTAAAATTCCTTAAAACCCTTCTAAACCCTAAACACTCAGCACTAGACCCTAAACACTAACCCTGAAAACTTAACACTAAGCCCTTAGCACAAACCCCAAGCATTTAACACGAGACCCTAAACGCTTCAGCACTAACCCTAAACACTTAAACGCTACACCCTAAAAACTAGACTCTAAACATTATACACTAAACCCTACACACTAAACCCTGCACACTAAACCCTAAACCCTAATCAGAAGGAATTTTTAAGTTGACAATAGTCTGGGGAAGCCCCGGTGCCTTTCCCAGATCAGTTGGATTTGTAAAATTCTTTAAAACCCTTAACCCTAAGAACCAAACCCGAAACCCTAAACACTCAGACCCTAAACACTAGCCCTAAAAACTTAACACTAAGCCCTTAGCACAAACCACAAACACTTTAACACGAGACCCTAAACATTTAAGCACTAAACCCTAAACACTTAAACGCAACACCCTAAAAACTAGACCCTAAACATTACACACTAAACCATACACACTAAACCCTGAACACTAAACCCTAAACCCTAATCAGAAGGGTTTTTTAAGTTGACAATGGTCTGGGGAAGCCCCGGTGCCTTCCCCAGATCATTTAGATTTATGAAATTCCTTGAAACCCTTAACCCTAAAAACCAAACCCGAAACCCTTAACACTAAACCCTAGACACTCTGCACTAGACCCTAAACACTAACCCTAAGAAACTTAATACTAAGCCCTTACCACAAACCCCAAACACTCAACACGAAACCCTAAACACATAAGCACCAAACCCTAAACACTAAACCCTAAACACTTACACACTACACCCTAAAAACTAAACCCTAAACATTACACACCAAACCCTACAACCTAAACTCTGAACACTAAACCCTAAACCCTAAACAGTAAACCCCACAGCCGGAACCTCAAGCCCTACTAAATCTACACCTGAAACCAAAATCCCGTCGGGGTTTCAGATGCTTTAGGGTTTTATTAGGTTTAGGGCTTTAGCCAAGCAGCTTGATTCTAAACCCTAAGCCTAAACCCTAGACCCTAAACTTAATACTCAACCCTAAACACAAAACACTAAACCCTGAAACCTACACACTAAACCCTAAACACTAAACCCTAAACCCGAAAAACCAATCCTGAACCCTATACCCTAAGCACTAAGCCCTAAACCCCAAACCAAACAACATGGGGGTTTCAGTGCTTTAGGGGTTTAAACACTTAATCATTACAAGGTTTTTTAGGGCTTAGACTTTATCCAAGTCGCTTAGCCCTCAACCCCAAAACGTAAACCCTAAACCTTTCAAACCAAAACCTAAACACTAGACACTAAACACTAAACCCTAAACACTAAACTCTACCAAACCCCAAACCCAAAAAAACAAACACTAAACCGTAATTCCTAAACGTGCATATGGAAAATACGGACCCCGGACTCCAGACTCCTGACTTCCAGAAAAAAATAACTGGAGTACCGGGGCCGCGGACTCCAGAAAACGGACTCCAGATTCTGGAGTCCGGGGCCCCGATAATCCCGATACTCCAGATTTATTCTGGAAATCTGGAGTCTGGAGTCTGGGGGTGCTCCAGATTCGTTCTGGAAATCTGGAGTCTGGGGTCTGGAGGTACTCCAGATTTATTCTGGAAATCTGGAGTCTGGAGTGTGGGTACCCCGGGCTCCAAAAAATGTGGAGTACCCCGGACTCCAGACTCCAGATTTCCAGAAAAAAAACAACTGGAGTACCGGGGCCGCGGACTCAAGAAAACGGACTCCAGATTCTGGAGTCCGGGGCCCCGATAATCCCGATACTCCCGATACTCCAGATTTATTCTGGAAATCTGGAGTCTGGGGTCTGGGGGTGCTCCAGATTCGTTCTGGAAATCTGGAGTCTGGGGTCTGGAGGTACTCCAGATTTATTCTGGAAATCTGGGTACCCCGGGCCCCAAAAAATGTGGAGTACCCTGGACTCCAGACTCCAGATTTCCAGAAAGAAAAAACTGGAGTACCGGGGCCGCGGACTCCAGAAAACGGACTTGGAAATCTGGAGTCTGGGGTCTGGAGGTACTCCAGATTTATTCTGGAAATCTGGAGTCTGGAGTGTGGGTACCCCGGGCTCCAAAAAACCCCGGACTCCAGACTCCAGATTTCCAGAAAAAAAAACGGGAGTACCGGAGCCCCGGACTCCAGAAAACGGACTCCAGATTCTGGAGTCCAGGGCCCCGATACTCCAGATTTATTCTGGAAATCTCGAGTCTGGAGTCTGGGGTGCTCCAGATTCGCTCTGGAAATCTGCAGTCTGGAGTCCCCCCCTCCCAAAACCCCACATCCACAGCCTTCCCGAACCAAATTGTGGACTTGAGGGTGAGGGCCTGGGACGAAAGCTAGTTAAGGTACCCCCACGGAAGGGTTTCTGTCAACAGGGCATCCACTACGCATCAGGACAAGGCTACGCCAAGGCATGAAGCCGTCACCTTTTTCCCGCGCGGTAGTGCGTTTCAATATCATGCCTACCAGCCAACGGCTTCAGGTCGGGCACCCAACATAGAACAAGTACGCAATGCGCGAGCATCATGAAAGTCTGTCCAATCCAGCTTTGAGGGACGCCAGACTCACATCAACATCAGGGCTTCTGAGTCTTTTCTTAAGACTTGGAAAGGTTTTCGAGGGCCTGGGATCCACAGAAAACGGCGTTCATTTGCACCCATATACGAAAGAAATGAACGCCAGCCCGTTTCCCCAAAACCTGTGGTCGCCGCTTGGAAACCGACCGGGTTTGCTGGGTTTCGTGGCGCCTCCCCCCCAACCACCCCTCTCACTGATACAATGATTTAAAGGGCCTCACGCCCCCCCTTCTTCCCTGGACGCTCCCCAGCCCCACCCCCAACCAACCCCCCACCCCACACCCCCCCCCCCCCCCCCCCCAACCCCACCCCCCCAACCCCCCCCACCAACCCCCCCCCCCCCCCCCCCCCCCCCACCCCCCCACCCCCAATGCTTTCACACAGTACAGGCCTGCTGCCTGCTTCATCACCCCCCTCACACTTGCAGTGCATGCCCAACCCTCGCGCCCCCACGCCCTTAGCGCCCTGCCCTACATAGAACTCATTCTTTTTAAATACTTTTTGCTACAGCCCTAAACCCTAAACCCTAAATCTCGGAGCCTGTACTGGCTCTGCGGTTTGCCGGCCTGCCGCCGGCCCTCCTGTCTGGGGTCGGCGGCACTGGCGGTAGCCGTTGAATATATATATATATATATATGCACATATGTACATGTACATGCACAAGTAGCCTCGAACTTTCTTGCAGTGTAGTTTTTCAGTGCTACGCTTCCTTTACTAGACGGGTCCACCTTCTGTTCCAGTCTCGCGGTTCCCACGGCGCACCCCGACCTCCGAGCCCCTGGCATTGGGGACGATGCACTCAACCCAAGTGTAGGCGCCAGTGACCTTGGCTCAAGACAAGGAGACATCGTACTAACCTTGGGTTCGACAGAGTCCATGGGAAAATGCCAGTGTTGGGGTCGACATTAGCGCCTGTGCTCGTAAGGTTAGAACAAGAAGCCAACCCCTGTTCGGAAAAGGGGTTGACGTGTCCGTCCAAGATTTCAAAACGTCCTAGCTGCCGTCAGTTCAGGCCGTGGCTCGCGTGCTAGTTGACTTCAGGTGCAGCTGAGGATTCCGGGGCATGTAGACTCAGAGTTTCTGACCTTAGGGACACCTCAAACCCTATCTCAGAACCACAATCCTATTTGAAGCATAAGACACTAAGCAGTAAGCAGCATATCAGTATGCTTGATCAACATAAGGCCGCGGCAACCTCGCAGAGGCGCCCGCAGACCGAAACCTCGACGAAGGCGTCGGGGCCTGCGTGGGCTCGCTTCATGTGCTGTTTGCTTCCTGATATGCTTCTAATATGCTTTCTGATATGCTTTCTGATATGCTTACTTCATACCACCTCCCTTCAACACAAAAAGTGCTCGGTCAAGGTTCAGCATGTGGGACCATAAGCATGTTTCACTCCATGGTTGGAGATTCTAGGCCGATTTAAGAGGTCTTATACTTTGTTGGGCAGTCTCGCCGAGCGGGTATGGACAAATATATATATATATATAGATAGATATATATAGATATATATAGATATAGACAGATATACATATATATATATATATACGTATTTACACACATACATATAATATATATATATATATATATACAATATGTATATATATATATATGTATATACCTCATATACACTTGGGGTAGGCTGTCGATGATCGGAGGCGCTTTGGATTTCAAAGGAATGCTCCTCTTCTCAAGCAAACTGCCGGACTCCTGTATGCACTTGTGTAAACACTCCATGTGAAAACATTCTTGCACGATCGTAGGCGTACTGTGGCGAGTACAATCAGTGAATGCACTAAAGAGGCTGCATGCAGCCGAGGTCGAACCCCTCTACTCAACCCAACCCCCGCCCCAGAGCCCTTTCAAGGTGTAGAGAAGCGACGGTCCTTGGCCGGGTGGCGGGGCAAAGCCGACGCCCGTGACGTTGAGGCGCCATCCTGGCAGTGACTTTTATCACGGCTTTTGAAGGTCGCCGCGTGTGTGGGGAATCGGGGAATGAAAACAGAAAGCTGTCGCAGGGCTTCTGCTCCCCTGCGCTGCGGTCGTCAGCCTGGAGCTTCTTAGGCAAAGTGCTTGCAACCCCAACCCCTGTAGGGCACTGGAGCCTGAAGTCATCCCCAAGCTCCCTCCTACATCCATCTGGCACTGATGCTCCGTGCATACAGCCATAAATGGTGGCGCCCTTGTGCTTCAGTCCTCTTCCAAAAGTTGTCGAGACATTTATAGTGCGTGTACAGCTACAGCACAAACCCCTCACAGCGAGGTCAGCAGCGCAAAAGATCGAATCCCAACATCGCAATCAACTTTCAACCGCAGCGAAGCTTGTTCTTGCTTACCGCTGCCATGGAAACCTGACCGACCAGGAAAGGGCAACTCAACTTAGCACCGTCCCAGGCACCACGTGCGGTCTTGCAGGTTGGATTTCTGGACTGAGGGAGCTTTCGACCTCCTTTCCAAACTTTCAGATCCCAGATCTTCAGGAGCCTTCACCAGCCATAAGGCCTTTGAAAGGGCACCCTGAAACCCAATCTGAGGAAAAAATAAACAGAAGCAGCTTCAAAAGCCCTGGCATGCCCCGTAACCCTGAAAGCCCCTCACATATGAAGATCCAAAGCCTCCGCCGAGGGAGCTTCCAGCAGCCTTGGGTGCTACTGGACTTAAGGGACATGTGTTTGGGGAGGGGGGGGGGGGCATATTCTGGGACCTTGGAGTGCGGGCATGCCTTGCTTACGTTGTGCAAGGACTCGCAATGTACAGGTGCCTTGGGCGCGCTCATGTTAGTTTCGTAATGAATAAAGCGAACCGATTGTGAAGGAATACATTATGAAAGAGGCCTTTCATAGACAAATGCCTTCAATACAATGCACGAGCATGCCGCATGGAGACTCAAAGGAAAGACAAAATCAACTATAGAATGTAAGACACGTTTATTCGTGGAAGATCCAAAGAATAAGTTGCCTGACAAAACACGCAGCAAAAAAGAAATGAGTGACAAAACAAACTTGAAAAACTCGCAAAAGAAGCCGGGGGCCCCCGGCGATCCCTGCATATGCTCCCACCGGCGCGGCACCGGTGATGTTGAGTGGCAAGACGAGCCTTGTGAAGGGAAGAAGGAACCGGGAAGGGGGGGGAGGGGGGGGGGGGCAGGGGGTTGGAAGGGATGTAAGGGCCCTAATCAACCTTAGATAAGAATTGATATTCACCTCTCGCTCTCCCCGCACCTTTATTACCTTCATGATGACACCAGGAATAACAGCAGTAAAAGACACCCCTCATGTTCTCCCGTCATAACCTTTGTCTCTAGGAGTTAATCTGTTGAGTCGAGAAGGTAAAAGCCAGGATGGGAGAATGAGGGTGAAAAGGTCCAAATAATAGGTCTTGTAGCCTGACATGAAGGCTCTTGGACCCCTCCAAAATCCCGCTGCAACTATGCAGATAAATGCACGCAGTGCGCCAAGGGACTTGGGGGATCATGTGGGAGGGGTAGTCTCAAAGTAGAATGTATACAAACTCGATGTTTCTGACGGCGGCAGTTGGGGTCCATGGGGTCGGGGGTTCTGAAGTGTTCTTCTACTCAGTGCTGGTTGCAAAGACTACGCCACCAGATCTCTCACGTCTGAAGGCAAGGGGTGAACTTTACCTCGTACACGATAAGGAAGTTCTGCAAAAAAGCTAGCTTCCACGCCTAAGCCCTACAGCCCTTCGACGCCCTTCGAAGTGCAGTTCTGACTGGTCAGCTTCTGCTTCAAAACTCACAGACGCGTTCAAGTTTAGCCGCCTGAACTGCAGGGAAAGCCTGAAGCCCAGAGAGAGGGAACTTCCAGCTGCCATTCTAGCCTAAACATCGCCTATGCTTCAGACGCCCAATACAGTATGGGGGAAGACTTGAACCTTTGTTTCGGTGGGCAGCGGCGCCTGCAAGGGTTTTAGGGATCTATCAAAGATAGAATTCATCGCAGGGGTTCCCGAAGTGCCAAACAGCCGAAGCTTGAAATCCTTTTTGGAAGCTCATTGCTTTGCTGGTAAGAACTTCGATGCACTGGGACAGAGCGCTGCTCTGTCAAGGTCTCGAAGAAGGGAAAGAACGTAAATGCAGGCCCATAATGTGTCCAGGAACCTGCACCTTTCGCCCTAAGCCATTGCAGAGGGGAGAGCAAAACCGAACAAGAGCAGAAGAGCAGAAGCAGCCCATCATAGTTCCAGAGACTGCTCCTGCGGTCCACATCATCCGATGCCAACTGCCTTTGGCAGTTGCCAGGACTTGGGAACTGCAAACTGCCCGGCGGTCCATGCTAAGGTTGCACCCTGCAGCAGAACAGCCAGGCTTGGTCAAGGGTTTTCTTGAGGAGTTCTAATCCTAAGCCGTCTTAGGGGATAAGGCTTTAATAAAGGCTGAAGGCGGTGTGGGGCTTCCAGCAACATACACATCAATAGCTCATCGTGGCGACCGATGTCCAAACCGTCTTGTCAAGTACATCTTAGCACCGTACACAGTAACTTTCAACAAGATTGCTGGTCTACTTAAAGACTTAGCGGGTTAGTCGAGGAGAAGGGTCAGAGAGGCGCAGCAGCAAACAACGCTGCATTCACATGGAGAGAGCACAACATACCAGTACATCCTACATACACCTAAGCTCAAGACCCTTCCTACACGCAGGTACATGTCTCTACATCCATACGCACACACACACAAACACCCATGCATGCATGCATGCATGCATGCAGATATATATATATATATATACCAGTATAGATAGTATGTATGTATTAAGTAAAACTACTGCATGCATATATCTACTCAACAGTGAATCACAATCAACCGAAGGTGTACTGGAGTACATGACTGTGCCCCCTCTAAATCCGTACTGCAACGCAGTGATAACTACAACAGAAGCGAGTGTGAGCGATAGTGGCCTCCAAGAAAATCCCTTGAGGGCGAACGCCCAACTGGCTCGATGATTCACTTGACCATCTGCTTCACCTTCGATGCGAAGACCTGCGAAGTGTGAAGAACATCAACTCTGCCTGAAATCCGGGACAAAAAGACCTTGCGCACATGGCCGCAAGCCCAACTTCACCCGGCCCTGTTCGTGTCAGGAACACTCAGGTAAGCCCCTGCAATCGAATACAACAACCAAGCTCCGTCAAAAAGTCGGTTCACAAGTAGCTTTTCAAAAGTGAAAAAAAAACATCATTCTTTAACGGTACTTTGCCCTCATGGAGGAAAAAGTCGATGCCACCGGAGATTCCCGAAAGCAAGCTTGTATGCAAAAAGCGGCACATATGAAGAGAGTCCCAAAAGGCATGGGTGAGTATTTGTTAATGTCATGCATCAGAAGACAAGCAATCTCTTGCATCTGGCATATCCTTCCCGGGCCTTCGAAAGTACCCTTACATCCTATCATCACAAAGCTTAGATTGGCTTAGATAGGCTTAGCAGAACACGGGAACGACGAGCTGGAAATGAGCCAGCGCTAACCAAAAGAGAGCGTGCCCACATCGTGCCCGCATCCCTTCGATTCCCCCCGGCCTTTCCCTGACGGCGCGCAATCTTGAGCTCCATGGCGCTGGCCTGGCGGCTGCCATCTGCCCCAGCAAAGGTGCCTCAGCTGACTCGGGGCTCTTTCATGAGCTTGACTGGACTTATTGCGGTGTAAGCTACAAGCCCGAAAAAGCCAGGGCGTAAGGCCTTGAAAGGATAAAGCCATTTTCGCCCCGGCACTGGCGCCCCATGGCGATCCACCGTGGATCTCGGTCATGTCGAACTGCCCATCGCCTCCGGCCTTGCCGAGGAGCTTAATAAATAAACTCATCGTCGTAGGCGTCGAATGCAGGCTGAGGCTTTGAGCCCCTTCAGGACAGAGGTTGCACTGGTGATGAGACAATAGGATTTTGCCAGGATCTGGATTACATACATATACTTTTCCACTGGCCACTCTAACGAACCCGACAAGCGAGCGGTGGGAGCTTGGGATCTAACAGCGCCTCTGCGTCTCACTTATTCCCTGCAGCGTGGGCCATCGTGGGCCGAAGCTTCACTTAGAAGCTGAAGCCGAAAACTTGAACCGACAATCCCCAACCTAGACTCCCGCCTGAGCTCTTTTGCATGTTAAGAGGGGCTCCAACCCAGGGCTTCAGAGATGGCCTGGTAGCCGAGGGGAACGTAGATCATGCCGTGGTGCACGAAGTTGGTCCTTAAGACGTCACTCTTGGGGCATTCAGACCCGCTTCCGGAGCCGAAAAAATCAAAGCCTGACATCCTGTAAGCCCGTACTCACATGACAAGTTTTTTGCCCCTGCGTTCCTCACCCTCCTCAAACATCCTCAAACAACCAAGCTCATGGGATTGGACAGGCTCCAGACGGATGCCCCGGGTGACTAGAGCGCTACCCGGCTTGCATGATGCTTGAAAACCGGAGCTTCAACCAGAAGGGCTTCAATGCCCCATTCTCGAAACAGCGGCCCTGAAAACATACCTGGAAGCCGCCAAAACCATGGCAGCAATGACAACATTGGCCCCAGGGGCAGCGTCGTCATGTGGGTTGATTCCTGACCGCCGTTGAGGGTGCCGGTGCTGCAGAAGCTACCAGCCAACTTCCTGGGCTGGACAGCCAAACCCTACTTCCCAAGATCTTTCTTTCATGTTAGCTTTTATACTCGCTTCATGCGGACGTAGGTGTTCTATGTAAGAGAAGCGAAGGGGTCGTTGCAAGGGCCTCCAGCTTGGCCACCCGATTCCTTGCACTAAGCCCTTCCAAATCCTTCCAAGCTTCCCGGCCAGCGCGCCGCTCTGCCAAAGCGAGCCCGTGCTGTCAAAGAAGGCCTTCATCCTCGAGTTTTTTTCAGAGAAGTGCTTAAGGTGGGGCGTTGGGGACTGAAACCTTGCAGAGTGCTAAGGCTTCAGAGATTCAAGCTCACCATGAGCAGCCAAAAAACTTCGATGCATCAAATGCGGGCAGATGGGTGCACACTTACCTAGGTCGAATCATCAGGCCCGGTAGCCCTATCATGCTTTTGGCCCAAGGATGATGGTCTCGTGAAGAAACTCGAGATGTGTGAGCCAGAATCACCTCAAGCCTCGCTCGTAGCAGTCCAGACACTGAGCTGCAGCACTGCCGAAGCGTGTAGGAATGCCGAAAAGGATGCCATCGTAGTCCTTGGACTGCGACGCTGCCAGATGGGCTTGAATTTAAGGTTGAAGACGCTTCTGGGCTCGCACGCCCGGGTCCCTTATTCACTGCAAAAACAGAGAGTGGAAAACCCTCTGAAAAAAAAGCAGCCATCCGAAACCCAGGGGCCGCAAGCTGCTGGACCTTCGTGTGGTCCATGACAGCGTCCGAGGGCTTCGCAGGGGCACCCATCCTATGGAGTGCGGGGTTGTAGTGTCTTTGGGGGGCTGTAGGTGACTTCGGGCAGATGTTTAGGGCGTTCGTGCGCAGGAATTTCTGGATGTGTTCACTCCAGTCCGGTGGGTTTGCTGCTGGAGGGCGCTTGAGGGATGCTGGACTCGACTTTGATCAACCCCCAACAGGCCCCAACAGGCTTGCACAGTTCCAACAGTGTTCCAACAGTGTTCCAACAATAACGCAGCCGAACCCCAGCCACTCCCATGAGAAGCTGGGGTCAAAAGCCCTGGATTCCGCCAGGCATCTTCTTGAGCACATCAGCACCCAGAAGCTCGGGCGCTTGAAACATATCCACGGTCACGCCCTCCTCCTGCACCAGGTCCGTGCTTAATAGAGGAGGGTGGTGGATGCTACTGCAGCTCGACGGCAACTCGACGCTAGTTTCTATTCCAAACGCACCCTGTCTGGGCAGCCCATTCCGCAGTACTAGCGCGCTTACTCTAATCCGACTCACGTGGTTGGCGGCCACACCTAGCAGCCAATTTGTTGAACGTGGGCATGGGAAATAATTTGACCTGTACCGTTCTTAAGGGGCGCATCACGGGCAGGGCTCCTTCATGGAGGCGGCGATTTCGTCTGCCAGCTTCTTCACGTGACCGTACCTTAGCTGGCTTTTGTGGACCCCAACGACCAATGAACTTGTAGCCATTGGTGAAGCTACTTAAAGCAAAAGCCGGCCAAGGTACGTGCTGTAGTAGACGACGCAGACCTGCTTGGAGGGGGCGGGAGGCTTTGAATGTGTTGGAGGATTGGAGGCTTGGTGCGTGGAGGGGCAGGTCCGCAGCTGCCCCCTTTTGCAGCCTTGAGGTCCCAGTTTGCAGACCCTTCTGTAACACTGGGTCACTGGGTTTACTGAAGCCCTGAACCTTAAGCTGCAGTTACAGGGCCTTCTCCAAACCAGCACATCCTCTACCGCCCCTAGACCCATACCTTAATCTACATCTCAAGCCCGAAGCCTAACAAAGAGCATGTCCATGCGCGCCAGCTCCAAGCCGATAAGACCATGAGAGTCAAGCGTGGACCCCGTTGGCCTTGGGCTTCTTGGCCGCCGCCGGAGTGGTCGTACGCTTCACGGCCTTGAAGCCCACAGGTGAAGGGGTGGGGGCTCGGCGGGCCTTTGATTTCAAGGGCTGCAGGCGGGTTCGAAAGGACGAAAGGTTGTGTAACGCGAACTCCGTGAACAAGACCTCTCTCAAATTCCCTTTGGAAACCCTGGAAACCCATCAGCCCCATCCCACATCTCAGAAGTCACCATAGGGCTCTGCCTCCCCCAAGCTCTTTGATCGAAACACCGCTGCCCTTAATTCCACCTCAAAGCAAACAAAATCCAGCTCCGAGCGGCGTTGCCAAAGACCTCGCCCTGCTTCTTGGCGATCTTCAGCTCGAGCGCCTGGAGTTTAGTGAGAATTCCGGGGACAAGTCAGCGAAGTGCGGCCGCGCGGGGTAAGGCTGCGAGGACCAAGGTGCTGGGGGGGTTTGGGAGCTTTGAATTGGAAGCGCCTTTTCAAGCTCTCGATGAGTCTGGGCAGCTTTGGGGTAGCACTTACAGCCATCTCCCTGATTTTACATCGGAGACCAAGGTGCTGAGGGTTGGCGGCTGCCATCCGCTCCGGCCAAGGTGCCTCGGACAGGCTTTGGAGGCTCCAAAATTTGGGAATTCCAGGGAAAGGGGCTTAGAAGCACCGGAACCATGGCAAGAAGCCTCACCTGGAAATACTGGAAACAAAGCCAAATATGCACTGGGACCATACATGTCTCTGCCATGCTATCCGATTGGCCGCAGCATCCTCTTTGAGCAGGGTGTGGGACTGAAGTTGGCCAGCTATGGCTGTGAACAAATTGAGGAGCCTTTGTACCACCAATGTGAGAATCGGCTCTGCGACTTGCAAGGCCGGCAACACGTACCCCTGATCCATACAGTTGCAAAAGCAGGTGCTGGCGCCCCATGGAGAGCCGCCATGGATCTCATTCAGGTCGAACTGGCCGTCGCCGCCCGCCTGGCGACATGCAGGACCGCGCCGTGCGTTGTTGCAAAGCCGAGGGTCAAGCAAGGGTCCTATGGCTAAGCGCCAATTCGTCAAACAAACGTCACGCGGCAAGCCATTTCGCAGATCTGCCGGTTCTGATCACCATTGTTGTATTCGCCGGAAAGTATACGTAGACAAGAACGGAACCACGTGACAGTCCTGACCCGCGAAGCACTCCGACCTTGAACATGAAGTTTTCAAACCCTCTGCAGGAATAAATGCCTGACATCCCAAAACCCACACGCCTAAACCAGATACGCAAAACACGGCAACCATGCTCGAGCAAACCACAAGAGCGTGATTCGTGAGCCTGCGACACCTTCTGAAAGCCTCCACCTATCTCAAAACGCGGAGCCACCATGGAGACTCGCCTGGTATCCCAAGGGCACGTAGCACATGCCGTGATGCACAAGCTGGGTGACCTGTGCAGGGACACTGTTTTTCTCCCTATGGCTGCGAGATGTTAGGATGCAAGCAACACTTCAGAATTTAGGACGAGCCTTGCAGCACGAGTATAGCAAATCCTAAACCCTAAGTACTAAGCCCTGAAACCGACACTTGAATGCCCCGACCAGGCTAGACCCCTCGATTCCGACGCTCAAAACTGCGAATTTATCATGCAAAGCCTCTGCAACCACCTCAACTCGTGAAAGCGTTGTGCAGAAATGTCCGTAAACTCTGCAGCCGGAGCGGAAAAGTAAACAAGGGATCAGAGGGACCCCTGAGCGACCGTAAGAGGAGCCGAGCCGCTGCTGTGAAGTGCGTGGTCTCCTGTCCCCCCTGCTGTGTGCCAGTGCTGACCTTGAGGCGCTCCGAGGAAGGGTGGGGTCCTTCGAGAGGATGGTCCACCCCATGCTCTAAATTCTTTGGCGTCCTTTTCCCCCTTCCCTCCTATACCATAGCTTCTTCCAGGGCTTGGCTCCTGGGTTTTCGCCGGGTCAGGGGCAGCTTCACACACGAGTCATACATATGGGCCCTTAATTTGGGTTCGTCTGCCGGTGAGGGCTGAGTAAAGGGCCTAAAAACTCTTTAAAGCTTCGTGTTTCAGCGGCACAAATAAATCAGGTGGCAAAGCCTATCCTCACCTTTCGAGTCTTGCAGCTTGGACCTGGGCGAAACCTCTGGTTGCCTCGGCAAAGCTGAGCGCCTTTCCGTGTAGGCTTTCCAAAAGGACAATAAGGCCTTCCAAGCCACCGAAATTCACAGCCCCTCTAGCAGGAGGAATTGGGGGAACCCCAAAAGCTGCCAAGTGGCGAAGGTGGCGCCAAGCTTCCCTGCCAAAGCCCCGCTCTGCCAGAGGCTGCCGGTGCCATCAAAGAATGCCTCTCAATGCAGAGGAATCATACAAAATGCTAAGCCCGACTGTTGAGGGGCCTGGGATGATGTGGTAGGAATGATGCAGAGGTTTCAGAAGCAACCGCGGAAGGTCCTGGTTCTGAGCCAAGCTACTGCACCTAGCTACTCTCTTTCTAGGTAGCACGCTTCATGAATCCGTCATCGGCACAGCTCACTGGTTTACACCTGCATTCAGGGGTTTGCAAAAGGCTTATTCCCGCCGTTCGGGTTTAGAAGGAAAAGTAGCCGCCAGCCTTCATCTGCGAGGCCATCATCCCGAAGCGAGTGGGCATTCCAAACATGAACCTCTCCAGTCTCCAGTAGTGCTTTGCTTGAAGAGGGGGGTTTGCTGGTCTCTGATCAGTTTGTGAAGGGATGCCGCGCGCTTGATCTGTGTTGGCAGCAGGGTCCCTCGCCTTGCACACAAAAGCCTTCCCAGCTTCAATGCGGCGCAGTTCACATATGCGAAGACAACGTCCGCATCATGCCACCGAAATCGCGTGAAACTAAACGCCCTCAACCAATCAGAGCCCAGATGCCCATCGTACTTCGGCAGCTCCGATAGGAAGGCACGATCCAGAAGCATCACGTCAGCGGGCTTGTCCTTGGCTCCAGGGAGGCTTTGCTGGGCTCTCTGCCCCCAGACAAGGCTCCACACCTCCCCGCACGGACCTGCAGCCCTCACACTCTCAGACGCAACTAAGCCTTGCGTGAACCCTACTGTAATGTAGGCCCCTATACCTCTTCTTCCTCCAGCGCTACAAGCCACAAGCCCTTTTTTGCAAAGTCTCGGGTGCGCCCAAAGCCTGAAGAGCTGTGGGCGGCAGGGTCTCTGGCACCTGCCCAGTCTGCAAGCACTTTCGAAGAGTGCGCATGGGGTGTTTACCCAGGCTGGTGGGTTCTTAGAGGTACTTGGGGCGGCTGGGTTGCGTTCTCAGTGGGGAAGCAGCTCATAGCAGCTCTGAGTTCTAAGTCTCACCTTCGCCCGCGTGGTGCACAGTCTGAGCGGAGGCCCCGATGAGGGCAAGTCCGAGGCCCCGTACAGGCCAGGCCCAATTGGGTATCCACATGTCCCGAAATAATACGTATGAGGGTAGATAGTACTTTGGTCTTAGGGCGTTCGGCCCGCAAACCCCAACCCCTCTAAACCCCAGACACTGGACCCACTCTCAACATCTCTGAAGCGGAGCCTGGAAGAGGTCCGCACTGGTGCCCGTGGCCTCCAAGCCCTTCTTGATCTCATCTGCCAAGACCTTTCCAGGTGGTCTCAATGGGAACACCGGATGGGTTGAGGAGGTGTTGGTCCCCCAGCCCTATATAAGCCCTAGCTGCAATGGACGCTCTCCTGACCTGCTGCACAGAATATGACAATCCCTGAATTGCCCCGTAGCCCACCTAAACATAGGAACCAGCATGACCCTTGTGTGAACTCCATGAAGTGACAACTCACTGGCCCAAAAAAGGCCTCCTTTGCTCAACCCTCAACCCCCCCCCCCAGCCTTTACGTGCACGCACGTTATTAAGGCAGCTGAGGTTCGGATCCTTAGCACCCAAAACCCCGCGCCTTCACATGCCCGTACGTGGAGTAGTAAACGATGGCGACGCTGGGGCTTGCCGCCTTCTTCTGCGCGGGAAGGCCCTTCTGGATGGCCACCTGGGAATGTTGCTGCATGTTGCTGCAAGAAGCTAGAATACAAAGTCCAAAGACTTGCGCTGCGGGGTGTGTAGGAGCTGGGCTATGAACTTGAACGTTAGTCCGAAAGCCCCAACAATACCATTCAGTCAAAATGGAACTGCATCTTCGAAAGCCCCACACCACTTTTTTGGAAACGCCAAAACGTAGGACCTCGGAAATGCGGATACAGATCTGTGTGCCGCCAATATGGCCTTCTCCCTACTGTCAAGAGATCTGGATAATCACCAGGCGAAGAATCAGTGGCCCCTCCGAACCCCGAACCCTGACACCTGCACCGGCCGAAAACGAAATTGGAGCCCTACGGATTGTCAGACGCCTCAGCGATTACAGTGGGACTCAGGCTTGAAAGGTTCAGGGTGCACCCGGACCGCCTCGAGCACACCCACAGAAGGCTCGGAGCAGGTGTTTCCCATGGCGAAAGAGTGGCACGAGGCTGGGAGCTAAGTGGGTCTGCAGGTCAGTGAAGCTTCAAGCGCTGAGGTTCCGAGCAAGGCTGAATCACCCAAGGGTCAACGCTACTCCCAAGTGGGCATCGCTGCTTGGCTTAGATTGGGGATCCCTATAGTCAGTCCTCCAACCCGCTTTCAGCCACGCTAAACCCTATATAAGAATACACAAAGCTCTAAAGCCCACAACTCCGAACTCCCGAAATCCCAACCCGAAATCCTGAGTCTGAGGTGTTGGCCCTGCTTCAAATCCGCATCCCTGGCACCCCTAAACCCCCAACTGATGCCAAACCTAGGAGCCCTATAGAGTGCTTATAGAGTCCTTTTCGAGTCCTGAGCCCGCCCAGCACTCCCAAGGCCATGGCCAAGTGGACTCCTCCGAAGCCATACCTGGCTCACGGCAGGAGACCCAACAATGCCCATGCTACGGCAGTAGGCAGACGCTTCTTTCGGGCTTCAGCTGTGGATCGCGCACAGAGCTTTGTAGCCGTGTGACTTTGGGCCTGAGCTTGTGGATTGCGAACCATTCGAAAGCTTGCCAAGCACTGTAATTACTGCAATTCACATACCTCACTGGAAAGCCTTCGCGAGATGACAGCAAGAGCGAACCCGAAAACTTCTACGGCTAGGCGCGCCTCTGCCCTCCTTGGTTAAATGCATCAAGAGTCCTCTATAGCCTTCTCAAATGTGCAACTCACCCCCCAAACCCCCCAAACCATGTTTTGCTCCCGCCTTTGTCCACGGCCTCCAGCTGAGGATGGACTGCAAGGCCTATCCGTGCAGCGCTGTGCTCTTTCTCTTCATTTTCTGAAAATCTGAGAGCTTTGCAAGCTGCATGAGGTCAGGTGTGGACATTTGCTACAGGGCATTGCCGATGCAGTGATATTCGGCCTGAGAGAACTCTGGGCCCATTCTGTGATTCCCGGAGGTGCTCATTCCGATCTTCAAGTCCATAACGGGTGCAGGCGAAGCCTTACGACCTAACTTTCTCATAAACCCGAACCACACTGAGACCGAGATTACTTGAGAATCTATCGGGTGCTGCCTTTGAGGAGTCTTGCTTGAGGTTCAGGGCTGCATCCGGTCCGCTATGTAACATTGCATATACGGGTCATTTCATGCCATATACACTCGCACACCACCTTAAAGTGAACTCGTCTGCGCAGATTTGTTCCTCACACTCGGTGTGGAGTTCTGCCATACTGTAGCTCAACTATGCTCGTGGTGCAGGTCTCCTGCAATCCTCGCCCGATCTCCTGGCCCGCGCCCGTGATGCCCACCCCCAAGGACCCGCCGAGAATCCCGCAGCACATCCCAGGCCACAGAATCCCACGCACGCCAGAGAATCCCGCCGAGTGAGAAGCCCAGAAGAGTCTAGCCTCCGCAACTGAAAGGGGATGCAGTGCCTCGTGTCAAGCTCTTAGGGTCAGGGATTTGCACAGGGGATTCCGGCCAGGAAATAATTAAGGCAAGGCCGAGGAAGCATTGCCAAGAAATAGGGCGAGGCCGAGGAAGCACCACTCAACTCCAACCTGCTCTGCAAACGTCAATCTCGTTTTGTGGCGCCGGTTCACAGGGCATACATGTCAAACAGGATCGGGCAAATCTCTTGTTTGGGCGGGAGCTCACACTTTGGGCACAAACATGCGGCAGTTCACAGAGCATACATACGTTCCAAGCAGGATTAATCCTGCCTGGCTTCAAAAGCCGAGTTGGGAGGGGGGGAGCAGACCCCTCGGCCAAAATGTGGAAACTCAGGACGAGCTTCGAGCGATTCGTAGGGTGTTTGCGGCAAGTCGTCTGGACTGCATGATGTTCTTACTCGATGCTGCATCATGGGCCTGAATGTGACATGTGCCCTCCCATAATTCATAAACACCATCCACGTGCCGAACTCGAAATGCATAGATGCCGGATTTCGAAACGTCTTCCGGGCGAAAGATGCTGGAGAGCAAAAACTCCGGAGGATCCCGCAAAGTACCAATAAGGGTATTAGGGGGATGATCGAAATCAATTTGCTTAATGTGTCTCAAGGTGCAGTCTTTGGGTCATTTCCTGCCTCGGCCCGTTCTACACCTGCAGCCTGATGTTGGGGCTCTGAGTGGGGGATAAGGGTGCTGGTGACCAGAGCAACTTGGCAGCCGGTCTGGGATAGGTCGAGCTCAAGCGTTTTGGCGAAGCATCTTGCTGTAAAGGTAAAGGTCTATAGAGAATCTTGGGTTTCCTTTGAGGAACCCGAGCATCTCGAGAACCCTCTTCATCGCTACTTCCTGCAGCACTTCGTGCCAGCACTTGCAGGCTCACCGCCTGGAGCTCCATCAGCTCGGCTGCAGCATTCTTGCCTTTCCGGAAGAAGCTCATGTTCGGAACGGCCTTCCAGGCACCGGAGCGAAGCTCGTATCCCATCTGGCTCATCATCGCCATGCGGAACTCCCAGATTGTGCTGTTAAGCATCTGAGCGCCGCCGAACTCACTGACCAACAGCTCGCGAATCCGCTCTTCATCCTCAGGCACTGAGCACCTCGCATTTTCCGTGAGGACTCTGAGGCTCTCCTTGCTTTTCCCTGTCTGCGCCTGGACGTAGGTAAAAGAAGAGGCGGCTCTAATCGGAACACCCTCCAGAGAGGCTTTCCCGATCTCGAAAACACACCAGAGACGCTCGTAAACCTCTGATGCCGAGGTGTGTATCACGACCATTCCACGACGTGCGTCTTCAAAACCCAACTGGCGGCCTGCCTCGTTGATCGCAGATAAGACTCTTCCAAAGGGATCCAGAGCAAGCTGGTCCTGGACTGTCCAGCAGTCGCCCGGCTGATAGTTCGCAAAGACACAGAACCAGCAAGCTGTATTATCCAAGATGTTGTAGCGTGCAAAGTGTAGCATGAGCGCCTCAGCACACTCGTCGATCTCCTCTGCCCAGGCGTGTGACATCATCAGTTCTACCGGTAGTGGCTTCTGACTATTTAGGAGAAGGGCCACGCTGTTGCCAGTGCCAGCTGTCCAAGGCTTCACGAAAGTTTCGCAGATGTCGTACATGTTGACTTTGCCTTCCGTCCTTTGTGAAAGACCTTCATAGACAGTGGTTGACTTACAGGCGGCGATGAAGCCATGGAACTGCGTCGCTGACATGGCCCACATCTCAGGTGCAACATAACGATTTCCAGGTCCCTCATAGGGAAGCCAAGCAGGCCGCTCTCCTTTTGCGTCGACCAACAACGGAGAGTCTTTGGATGCTTTGGATGCATGCTGCGGGGAGACATGCGTAGCATGCAAACTGCCGCCCGATGACGATCGAGAGCTCTGCTTCAGCGGTAGTCGCAGCTTCGGCATAACATGGATAGATGCAGACCCATTGCTGGCCAGGTTGCGAAATAGCTGATCCTAGCAATGCTGCTAGCTGTGCCATGTTATCTGCAGGCACCTTGCGATTTTGCCGCACTAACAAGCCACTGACAGCATCCTGCATTGCTGCTTAGAATATCATGAGAACTTCTTTGGTCTCCCTTTCAGACAAACGACGAAGAAAACTCACGCCCTCCTGTCTAGCTTCCACAACAGTTCGACTCAGCCACAAATTCTGTCCCTACCCGCCGTACCTCCAGGAACGTTCCCAAGTCGGCAGCCAAGATCCACCCAGGACTGGCGAGTTCGTCTTTGTGGTCGCTGAAAACTTTGGGAATCGAATGTCTATATGACTCTGGATGCTTTCAGGGATCAACCCTAAACCCTCAACCGCAAGTCCCCACTTCAGGCAGACCCTGGGCCCGTCAAACCTGTGAGGCGCACCCCACCCCCCCCCCCCTCCACCACAGCCTTATCCAAAAAGTTGGTGCCTATTTCGGGGGTTCTCTACTGTACAGGGATTCGGTGTATTTCGGCGGGGAGTCGAAAGTGGGAATGGGTTAAAAACTTTAGGGAGAGTCAGGGTTTAGACTTTAGCGTTTAGCCTAAACCTAAACCTGCCCGCTCGGAACCCACGAAGAGGTAGGATGTGGCTCTACGATTACCCAATTGCACTCAAGGGTGATCCGGGGCCCTTAGGGTGGTTCAGGGTATTGGGAGCGGTTGTTGTGGGTGTAATGTTTAGGTGTTGATTTAGGTTGGATGCCATAAATTGCTGCTGGTGAAGAATCTCTTGCTGAGCATTTCAGTTTCGCGCCTAAAAGCTGGTTGAACTATCTCCGCCTTTCTTAGAGCCTGCTTTGCCAGATATCTGAATCGAGCGAATATATATATATATATATCTATCTATCTATATGGATACGGCATGTTTTGTATGGGCTTGCATAGTGTGCTACATATAGTATTCGTTGTTCTGGAGATAGCCATGGAAGAGAGTGAAATACTCCGTGTAGGAACCAAGGGTGAAGTGACACTTTGCCGCAATCGCTCTGAGCCTAAGAAACCACGAAAATAAGCCTCGGGGAGGACCCTATAAAAGGTGTGCCTGCCCAGAGTACTGGCGTGCTGACTCGAGAGGGCACGTGACCTGGCACATGGCTTTCTTCTTTTCTGAAGATAGGATTTGCAGGGAATTCGGCTTAAAGATGATGAGGGAAAAGAAGCACCTGCTGCATAATGCCAGGTACTTGGGTGGGTGTATCTTCTATTGCTGTGGCATATGGGCCTCCCAATTTCACAGGGACCCTTAGCTGGGGGTGGTCCATCCGAAGCCCTGGCCCAGTTTCCCTGGCTCGTAGATCTAAAGACTCAGTGTTTGGAGGCTTGTAGATAGGGTTTAGGGCTTGGCGGGGTGTTGGGCCCTCACTGATTACGTAGACTAAGGCAAGAACTGGAACTGCGTGTTGATGCGTGCGACCGTGCGACCTTGGACCTCGGGCAACTTGCAGAAGCCTCTGCTACTCTTCTCTGCTCCGGAAGGAAGGCTTTGATCTACCGGAGAATCAGAAGCGACAAAACTTCACAAAGATCTTGGCTTTAACATCATCTCTGTTTCTGGAGACCTT